AAAGCAATTTGTCTTAATTTTTTCCTCTTTTGCTATTGTCTGACTAAGTTATTTTAAAAATCTTTTTAACATAGACACTCAGTAAATAATTCAGCAGCAAAGATCAGAATTTTTTAAGGTGCATAGAAAATGAAGGCATTTGTTTACTAGAGCCCTTTAAACTTTAGACTTATTTTATCAGTAAATCTTTACATACCAAAGAACAAAGATCTACATGAATACTTTAATTAGGTAGCCCTTCTCTCTGCTCCTTAATTTGTTTCCAAAAAGATTTTGTGACTCTGGTCTCAAAAAATTCTCCAAAGTATAGGTAGAGTTTATATGAAGATGTTTTCAAGTGTTATTTTCTTGATACAGTACTGTTGTCTTTTACCTTTTTCTTAACTTTTCTTTTAAACTAACAAATAATAACTGATATGCTCGTCATTCAACAAATATATGCTCCCATTTAGAAATCTACTTTCCTTTTGTTCTTTAAGGTTCCAATGTAGTAAGATAGAACATATCTACTACAACAACAGGGACTATGCTAACTACTGTCTACCTAATAACTCAGATTTAGGGATGCAATTTTTTATTTTATTTTTGTGCAATCCTAATATATTTTGCAACTACCATTATTTTTATTAAAAGGAAAACTTTAGATAAATTATATAAAAATCTAACCTGGAATATTTTTTAATAAATTTAAAATCAGCCTTGTTGATTTTTATATATACATAAATTTACCAACACACTTATGTAAATATTTATGTGTGTGTATATAACATGGTGTTAAAGTGTCCAAGTTATTCATTTCATAGTCCATATTTTGTAACTGTCATATACATTGTAGCAATGCCCCACTGTTTGTATGTAGTGTAGTTTCTCCAACATAATACCTGCTATGGGGATCAGCTGTATGTCAAAACATTAGGATTCTACTGCCTGCTGATATTAGTTTTTAATAAAAAGGAGAAGAGCACAAAGAAGAAACAAAATCAATCCAAAATATATAAATCATGCTTCTTTCCCTTATGATCCTAATCGTGACTTTTATTACCTCATTGGGGGACAAAGCTATACACCCACACTATTAAACCTGGATTAGGTCAGCTGGCCATGTTGAGTAAAAGATAGCCCTTTGGTTCTCAGATTTTAAGTCATCTGACATTTTAAACGTGCATTTGCAGGCAATGAAGGAATATAACCAACATTCTTGGTTCCTTTAGCTCTTGAAAAGGAAGCTGATTTAAGTCAACTCTTTGTTCACATTTTTGGTCATTTTGTGTTATATCCAGCAGACAAAAATGACAGCAGCAATATGGAGCCAGGATATAAATAGATTTAGTTGCTTCAAATCCACTTGTGTAAAAAATAAGCATGTGAAACAAGGGGAAATAATGAAAAGAGTTGTAGATTTTTTGGTGGTGGTGGCGGTGGCTTTTTGGTAATTTTTTTTTTGACCATGAGCCTCCAAGTTGGATCTTATCCCAACTGCTTTCGATTAAACCCCTACTTCTTTTTCTTTTAATGCTATTTTCTCCCATAAAATTAATAAGGGATAATGGTAGAACTTTTGGAAAGTATGACTATTAGTTGGGATATGAGTGTAGCTACTGTAATAAAGATCCACGTGTCTTATGATTTGAGTTTATTTCTATCACACATTACTCTGGGACAAGCAGTTGAGAGCTGACATAGTGCTTCATGGTGTCCCGGACCTCTAACCTGGACTTCTTCCATGTTATTATGCTACTATCCTCCAACATTGCTAACGCCTCCTGCTGTAAGATGGCTGCTTCAACTCCAGCCTTCATAGTCACCTTCCAGTAAGAAGGAGGAAAGAGAAAAGGATGCTCTGGATAGTCCCAGAAGTTGCACATATCACCTCTATTTAAATTCCATCAGTCTGTGCTCAGTCACACAAAGAGAGACTGCGAAATTTTGTTTTAATTCTAGGTAGTCATGGGCCCATGTAAAATTGGTAGTTCTGTTACTACAGGAAGAAAGGAAGACTGCACATTGGGAGACAACTGGCAACCTTTGCCAGAATACAAAAAAGTATAAGGAAGAAAATAAGAATTACCCATAAACTCATCACCTAAATATAATGGTTACCTTTAACTTTTGGCATATTTCCTTTCACTACATTAATTTATTAAATATTTTTTTAAAAATTATGCTATATGTGATAATATGCTACTTTTATTTAATTTAATAATATACCATGAACATTTTCTCCAACATTTAACATCCTTCAAAACATTATTTTAATGGCTGTGAATAGTATTACGTATTATGGATGAATCACAATATATTTAACTGAATTCATACTTTTCAGTATTTAGAATTTTTTCTAATTATGTTCTAAAGACATTGGTAGTTATAATTATTTTGTTACTGTCTATGATACTTAGTTTAGAGGTGCAGTAAATATTTTAAAGTTTTTATTATTATTGTGAATGGAATTTTTTTGTCATTACATGTACTTTCTTTTTCTTAAATGTTTAAAAAAAATAATTTTATAACTTACAAGTCCTGAACATGATTACTAAATTGACAATTAATAAATGGTGTCTTGTTATTATTTTAATATATTTTTCTTTGATGATGAGCAACATAGAACCTTTTAAAAAGATTCTTGGTAATTTGCTCATCTGGTTTAAATTTCCTCCATATAACTTTTGTCTGGTTTTCTACTTTTATAATAAATTTCTAAAAACTCATCCTATAATAAGAGTATAACTTGTCTTTAAACATGTTCAAATACTTTCCCAGCTTGGAGTTAGCCTTTTGTTTCAGTAGGTATTTATATTCTTAGAAATTTTTCTGTTACCATAGTTAGAACCAATATTTATTTATGTCTAGTAAGTAATCAATAAACATTTGTTGAATGAGAGAGTGAACAATTAGTTTTGTTAACCACATTTCACTGTTTTTAATGCTTATTGCTTGCCTTTTCTTCTTTTAATCAGGTCTCTCCCATTCCTAAGCCTTTAATTTTGGTTTGTATCTTGGTTGACTAGAACATATATTTTAGTAATACTTTTGAAAAAGCTTTCGTGTATATTATGCATGATGTACTCATGCATATAAAAATATTCTATTGAGTTTAACTAAGGACTTGGATGATAGTATAGAATTCTTCGTTATAGCACTTTCCCTTCAAAACTTTCCTGTCTTCTGGCATGAGATACAAAGTGTAAGAGTAACCTGATTTTTATTTCTTTGTAATAAATTGTTACTGTTTTTGTTTTATCTTCCTGGCAGCTCTAAGGACTTTTTTCTTTTCTCTTAAAATATTTTTTAAAAATCAACTCAATATAATATGAGTGAATATTGATAACATTTCATAACTTTCCCCTGGGAATCTTGGAAACTATTTTAAATAGATCTGGAAATGTTTTCTTTCACTCTGCCCTTAATTCTTATTTCTCTTGAGTCTGTCTGGCCTCTTCCTCTGGACCATCAGTTTATACTATTCAGGTTTGCAATTCATATCTATTGTCTTCTTTCTAATTTTTAAAAATATATTTGTCTGTTTTGCCTTTTCATTCTGGGATAGTTTAAAAGGCTTGCTTCTGTACCAGGGGCTTGCTTCTTCTGCTCTGACAATTATATGCCTGTTTTTTAATAAAGATTTTAATTTTGTTACGGTATTTTTTCTTCCTCAACATTGTCTTCTTAGCCTACTCTGCCTTTATTTTGTTTCTGCATGTGTCTTAACTCCTGTTTTCTCTCATTCTCTGGCCTCATATTTTCACTGTTTATAGAGTTCTTATTTCAAGGAATTTTATTGATCCTATAAAACAATGCTATAAAGCAGATGTTTCACTTGTGTTTGCTCTAGTATTTCCCCAAATATATGCTTCCTCTTTTTGCTTTGCTTTTCATATATATATATGTGTGTGTGTGTACACATATATACACATTACATATACATACATGCACATATGTACACATATACGTACATATGTTTTTCATATATATTGCTTTTTGTGTGTCTGTATGTATAAAACATGGTATCTTCAGAACTCAAGCTTTTAAAACTTTTTTATTCCTTTTCATATTTGAACATTATCCATATTTGAACAAAGAGATATCTATGAAGTAGGCCTGATATTTGACCATAAACATGAAATAATGGTGGTTGGATTCTTGGATCTTTTCACATATGAATGTTTATTTTTTTTTTTTTCTATTTTTAAAGAATCCTTCCTCATTTCTTAACCTGGAAGACTGGATGTTATTGTCATACGTTCATGTTGCTGGTTCATTGATCCGGATGCTTGAAGGGCATGGCCATTTTCCGTTTTTAACTTTCTGTTTCAACTGGCCTCCATATCAGGTACATGGCGTGGCCGTGCATGACCTTCTTCCTTGAGCAGCTACCTGCTGCATCTTTGAAAGGAAGCTCCAGGTCAGGAAGATGGTCCAAAGTTTGCTTGGGTAGCTGCGTCATAAGACCAGGGCAACCTACTCTTGTGGCCTCCTCACCTGTACTTACCAACTGGGGAATTTCCTAGGATCCTGCAAAGATTGTTTCTGACTGTGCTGTGTTTATTTCTCAAGGCGGAGCCTTGCGAGATAGTTCTTGGTGTTTCTCTTCAAACAATGTCTCTTCTCACTAATATTTAGCTGCAGCTTTATGTTTCTGAAATATCGTTGGTATTGTTTCAGGGCCAATATATTATTCCCTGCACGTTGTAGTCTGTTGATCATTTTAAATGAATTTGAGAGGCAATGCATAAGAGGAAAAGATATGTTTTCTCAGGCTGTCATCATATGTAACAGTGCCAAGACAGTGCCAAGTTTATATTAAATATTAATGTCATTAACCTAGAACATGTATACTGTTCTGATTCCTGGTTTCTCATAGTATATGATGATTGTATTTTCATATTGTTTGATATTCTGGCAAAAAATTGTTTAAAACATCCCCTACTATTTCATCATGAAATTATCATACATATATTCCTATACCCCCTCCCACCCATGAGCGTTAGTAATTTGCTGAGCTTGGCCCCCAAAGTGGAAGTGTGGTTGCCCAGTAGGTTCCCATGAGCTGTTAGCAGCCAATATCCCAGGAAATGGAGGCCAGTAAAGCTGGTCTGGGCAGGGCACCAGTGACATCCAGTATATTAATCCTTTATGGCTCCTTACCTGTGAATTGTGTGTGCTCCTTGCCCATTTCCCCTTTTGTTAATTAATTGTTCATTAATTCAACAAATATTTATTGTCTATTGTGTGTTAGAGCCTTTGAATCTTTCTAAGAGATGTCCTTCAATGAAATCCAGGAATTCCTTTGACAGTTCTTTATAGTAAGGTAAATATCTTTTTATCTATTGCATTTGTAATAAAATGCTTTCCTAGTTTCCTGTTCTCCTTGTAATTGTATATCATGGTTTTGGCCTAGAGAGGATATGGGGTCTCATACTGTTGAAATTATCGGTGGGCTTTTTGTACTTCTTCTATACTTCTTCCTCTTGTTTTATGTATAAAAAGACCACCCAAGTCATCTTAAAGCTGACGAATAGTCAGATCCATATTTTTGTCTCTTAATTATTTCAATATTCAACTTTTTAATCTAATAGGAATTCATTTTGAATTTTTGTGATATGTGGGATTCAAATGAATGTATTTTCCTCTGAAAACAAGCCAATTTTTAGTGTTTATTCAGTATTCCTTCCCTGTTCATATGTGGGTTTCTTAACCCTGTACCCTAAGAGATCACACCTCAATATTCAATATGAACATGTAATATATATTTATGTTCCTGTACAAGTATACATTTGCATAATATTTAATGCTGTGTTATATAATACATATGATATTATAATATTAGATGATATACTATATACATATAAGTTTATATATTTGTACATAGATATTCAGCACTGTCTTTCCAGTGTCAGGGATATTTAATAATATAAAATCTCTGATTAAAATGAAGAAGGAGACAAGATTTCACCAGCTTATTGATGATAACTGCCACCCCCAGTACCTCATCTTGTCCCCAGGAGGCTTGCGGAGGGCTGGAGGGCCAGATGGTGCCTGTGGCTCCATGTTGATGATTCTTACAGGGTTGGAAAGCAATTACTCAGTACCAGTCCCCTGGGAGGCAGATGACAAGGCAAGCATGTTCCCTGCATTCATCTTTACAAGGTGTAATAATTAAGCCAACAGAATCATAGCATCCCCCTGATGGATGTACAAAGAATCAGCATGGACCCTCTTGACTTGTTCATTACCTCAACGTCACCTACACAGACTAGCAATTACTCAAGGCAGTTATGGCATTTACATGTGACAATGATCTTTGCTGCATTAATGCCTCAGACACGTAAGGTATAGTGGGCAGTTAAAAACCTGATTTTAACCAGTGAAGCTTAAGCATTGAGGGTTTAAGTAGCTTTTACTGGCATCACCCTTAAGAAAGATTTTAGATGTCTTCTTCAAGAAGAGGAAGGAGGTATGTGCTAGATGTAGACATTTTGATGCTTATAGTTGGAAGCAGCTTATTAAATGCCCTAAAACTAGAAGACTTCTCTGTTTGAGGTGTACCTGTCTATTAATGTCCCCCACTGACTTAGGCTAGTTTCAGAGACTAAGCAGCAGAGGACCCTCCCAACTAGTAAGTTGGGAATTCTTGGCTGATGGTGAAGGCTGTGTTTTAGGTCTGTCCTTCTCTAGCTCATGTTCCCATCTGGAGCCCAGTGCAAACGGCAAGAGGGGGCTTTTGTTACCCAGCTTCCTCTTCTTGAGGGGCCCAGAGACTACAAAGAAATGAGATCTTAAGATCTGTAACTCTTGTGTTCCGATGCTGGCAGACAAAGAGAATTTATGAGAAAAGAGAAGTTACTATCTTATGTTGGGTTCGCTAGAAGCAGAGCTTGAGATGGGGATGCTTATGCAAGTGATTTATTTAGGGAATGCTCTCAGGAGAAAGAGAGCAAGCAGAGAAAAATAGGATAGGGCTAGAAGCTAAGTATAGATGGGGCAGGAGGCCGAGCCTCAGCCTGCACCCACAGGGAGCTGTGGAGCATGCATTGCACCATGGAGTTGTCCTGCAGACAGGCAAGGGGACTGGCCACGGTACTCCTGTGCCGTCATTTGGTTATGAGCAAAGCCCCTCCCAGGGTTGGGTGCGGAACCTTCCAGGTACTGCCTGCCAAGATGGTATTCCTCAGCCAAGGGCAATCCTCTAGAGAGGAGCAGAAGTGCCAGCTGTCATCAGCCAGCACCTACATCATCTATAGAATGAGTGCAACAGCCCCGTGGAGGGGACCTGAGTGGGGCACTGAAGTGCCAACTACAGTAACTGACTGGCAGACACTCTTTCTATTCCTCTGTTTTGTGTAGTCATAGCACTTACCACTATCTGGACATAGCTGAAGTATTCGTATATTTCCTGCTCATCCGTCTCTCCTGCACTAGACCCCGTAAGCGCCATAGCTCACCAGTGCTGCATCGCCAGTTTCTGAAACAGTGGCTGGCAGATGGGAGGTGTCCGGGACATGGTTCCTTGAAGGCATGAGTGGGCGAGTAGGGGCAGGGGGAGGGAGGACCACTGCACATCTGTGTAGGACCCCATGTTAGTGGTACTATCAGTGTGCACCCGTTTCCCCTCAGGTCCCAGCTTCTTAGTCCCGGGTCACATTTTCCAGCTTCTTTATGCTTCACTCCTAATAGGCCTTCTCTGCTGATCAGTCTGTGTTTTGTTAGTTGGCATCTTGTTAGTTGAGATCATACTAGCTAAATCGATTGGGCCCTTTCAGCCTGTCAAGCTCTGCTTCACGAGCGCTTGACCCGTGTCAAGTCAGTGCTTCTCAGGCTTTAGCGGGCACGTGAGTTCCCTGGGGTCTTGCTAAAATGCAGTGTCTGTGTCAGTGGGTTTGACGCGGGACCTGAGGGACTGCATTTGTGCCCAGCCCCCCAGGAAAGCGGATGCTTCTGGGCTCCAACCACCCTTGAGTAGTGAGGAGTTCACTCATTAATCCTTGTAACAGGTCTGTGAAGTCGGTTCTATTAGTATTTCCATTTTGCCGTTGAGGAGAGTGAAGCACAGAGACATTAAGCAATTTGCTCAAAATTACACAGCTGGTGAGAAGTGGAACCAGAATTTGAACCTCAGGCAGCCTGACTCCCAAATGCATCCTCTGCAATCCTCCAAAAAAAAAAAGGTTTCTATTGAAAAATGATATTATAAATGAAGTTGACCAGGCTAACAAGTGATGACAATGTGAGATCTCTGTGATGGATCTTAAGGTTAATAAAGCCTAGACATTGCCCTCGGACACTCAGAATGAATCATTGAACGAACATGACTCAAAGAGAGACTGATCCGCTGTCAGTTTCCCTTCCAGCCACCCACGACCCCAAACCATTAGGCTGCAGTTTTGACAGTGTTTCCCAATGGCTTGGAAGTAACTAATGAGTGAGCACCAGTGCCTAAGAAACGTGAATGACAGCAGTTATAATTTCTCAGAGATCGTTTGATTTGTCTTCTGCGATATTTCAACATGGAATGTAAAACAGCAGGGAACTGGAGATTTATAATCTGGTTCACTCTAATTGATTTCTTGGCTTCCTTGGGTCTAATTAATTTTTTTCTGTGTACCCTAAAATGGTGCAGTAGGCTTCCTAAAAGCTGTTAGAAGGCATCTGTATCACAGTTTATGAAAAATTGAGACTTGGCTTTTATTTGGAAGGTAAATAGAAATTGATTTTGCTGTTGAGGTCCAGACATAAAGGAGGGACACTGACTCCAGAACTCAACAGAAGATTCCGGATTACTCTGTCTTGGTTTGGGTTCCCCTAGGAGGAGACTCTGAGACACAGATTTCAGTGCAAGTAGATTTTTGGAAGGTAGTGCCAGGAAACCCTTGTCAGGAATGGGAATGTGAAACAGAGAGAGGGAGAATTCACTAGAGCGTGCATTGGAAGTTACCATGGTGGGTGGCTGGTCCTCTATCTCTGAAGTTGTCAAGGAGACCAGGCAGGTCTTATGCTTCTGTGTTATTCCAGCCAATGAACAAGTCAACTGGGGTATTTATTGATCAATCTCATCAGTCATAGGTTGAGGGCTGCTCCTTGAAGCATGTGGCATTAACCCCCAGCACTTCTGGGCATATGCCTAGCAGGCTTTGACATCCAGAGAAAACTCTCAATCAAAGAGATAGAAGTGCTTGCATTTGGAGCTATAGGCTTGCGCCCACATGTGAATGGTATATGCAACAGGACTGTGGACAGGGAACCTACAGCATCTGTTACAGTGGCCAAATATTAATTATGGTGCTTTGACCTTTTGTGCACCAGTGATTTCCCTTCAGTTCCCAGCCTCTTGCTTCCAACCTTGTGTAGAGCCGTAACCTAGATGACCTGTGTTACTGACTCGGAGACCCTTAACTAAGGCAGTTGTTCTCCTTACATTTTATAATACATATAATATGTATACGTATAATACATATAATGCTATATCCCAGTTTAGAAGAATATAAATCAAATTGTAACTATAAATTATATAAATTGTAATTATAAATTATAACTATGAATGAGATTATGCAAACTATAAAGTGCCTTGGGATTTTATTAATCAGTTTATTCAGAATGCCCTCATGGTGATTTAGCTTTGAGTGGAACCTTGGTAACATTTTTCTTTTCTTTTTGGTGAAAAAAAGAAAAGGAAAAAAGAATGCCCTGCCAAACTGGAAATTGAATGGAAACTTCTATGTTGCAGTAGTTTTTAGTGGGCTTAAAATTTAATCTTGAAAGTGCAACGTTTGTGTTTAGCATTGTCAGAGGTGAAGGAGGAATAACAAAGTGCATTCCAGGCCGTGAGAAATAAATCTGACTCCTTCCCAGGCTCTGCTGCCTGCAGGGTGTCCTCACCTCAGTCTTCTGACTGGCGCTCCACAGGCTGTCTTGCCACCTCCCAGCCCAGCAGGTGTGTGCCTTATTCCTGCCCCAAAAAAGGGAAACCAAGCAAAAACAGTGTAGTCACTGACTAGTTATTAACCCGTTGCACTCAA